ATGGTGATCATTAAAAATCTAGAAACAACAGATGCTGGAGAGGATGTGAAGAAATAGGAACACTTTTACACTGTTGATGGGAGTATAAACCAGTTCAACGATTGTAGAAGAGAGTGTGGTACTTCCTCAAGGATCTAGAAATAGAAATTCCATTTGACCCAGCAATCCCATTACTCAGTATATACCCAAAGGATTATAAATCATTCTATTATAAAGACACATGTACATGTATGTTCATAGTGGCATGGTTTACAATAGCAAGGACCTGGAACCAACCCAGATGCCCACTGATGATAGACTGGACAAGGAAAGTGTGGCACATATACACCATGGAATACTATGCAGCCATAAAAATGATGAGTTAGTGTATTTGTAGGGACATGGATGAATCTGGAAACCATTATTCTCAGCAAACTGACACAAGAACAGAAAATCAAACACTGCACGTTCTCACTCATAGGCGGGTGTTGAACAATGAGAACACATGGACATCACACTGAAGTCTGTTGGCAGGGGCCAAGGGAGGGACAGGGAGGCAGGGGGTGGGAAGGTCAGGGAGGGATAACATGGGAAGAAATGCCAGATGTAGGTCACGGGGGATGGAGGCAGCAAACCACATTGCCATTTGTGTACCTATGCAACAATTCTGCATGATCTGCACATGTACACCAGAACCTAAAGTATGAGAAAAACATTTTTTAAAAAAGGAAGCACTTACACTCTCATGGAAGGAAAGCCACTTGATGATACCAGGTGGCAGAGGTCATTTGTTCTGTAAGGTCAGGGCTGGTCCTGAGCACAGGAAGCATAGTTTGCCCTGTTAAGTGACTTGACAAGTCCTGGAATATTCCCTTACATTCTCAAATAAATCGGGTCCAATATGTGTAACTTCCACACATGGAAGAGACAATAAAACCCTGCAGTTTGCCTAGTGGTGGCCCTTTAGTCCTCTATTAGTTCAGCTAGCCACATCAAACTAGTATGTTGTCCGTCTCTGGTATTAACTGGTGCAATCAGAAAGACGAATTCACTCCTTGGTGTATTAGTTTCTGATTGCTATGATAACAAATTAGCACAAACTTAAGAGGCTTAAAACAACACAAATACAGCACATTATAGTTCTATATGTTAGAAGTCTGGCATGGGTCTCACAGGCTAAACTGAAGGTGTTGACAGGGCTGTACTCCCTTCTAGAGGCTCTAGGGAGAATCTGTTCTTTGGCTTCCCCCCTTCTAGAGGCTTCCCACATTCCCTGGCTCATGGCCCACTTCCTCCACTTTCAAAGCCAGTGACATTACATCTCTCTGATCATTCTTATGTAGTTATATCTCCCTCTGATCACAGCCAGGGAGTCCTCAGTGTTTAAAGATTCAGCTGTAAAAGATTCATGTGATTAGATTAGGCCCACTTGGATGGTCCAGGATAATCTCCCGATGTCAACGTCGGCAACGTCCCTTTTTGCCATGTAAGGCAACATAGTCACAGATTCTAGGGATTAGGGTTTGGACATCTTTGGGGGGCATTATTCTGCCTACCACATATGGGTGGGTAAGAATACCCTGAGGGTTCCAGCCCGCAAGCAAGGACAAAGAGGGAAAATGAAAGTAACTATTGCTGTTGTGTTTCCCCAATTATTTCTTACAACTTCACAGTATCAGGGCAATAGAAATTATTGTTAAGAGATGCAGAACAATCAACAAAGTATGGAACATGTTCCCAAGCGCCAATAACTTGGTTCTCTCTTTAGAACAGTAGAGAAGCAAGCACAAGTGCTCTGTGAATTAGATACTCCACAAATACAGCCAGCCGGCCTCTTAGCAACACAGGCTGATTATATAGGCTATGTACTTTCCAGTAAAAGGTACATGCCCCTAATAAGCTTAACTGAAACTGCCCTCCCTAAGAAACTGTGCAGACATTATTTCCTATGATGCAGGTCCTATAACTGTCCCATTTTACAGGTGAGAAAGTGAATACTTTGTACGATTATGCCACTTGGCAAGCTGTTGCTTTCACTGAACCAGTAAACATACACATCGGAACCCAAAGCCTGATTTAGTCCTATGTAATATGCCTATTTCTATGTCTATTTGAAAACCCATCTAATCAGTACTTCTTCCCCCTTCTAATTCCAACCCAAAGCAAGTTCTTTCCTGTGACTCTATCTGATCTGACAGTTTACATTTGTGGTTTTGGGAGTGTGTGCACACATGTGCATGCTTGTGCATATGTGTTGAGGAACTCTCTAATTTTTTTCTTCATGAGGCTTCACATTTTGAATGCCATACTTTCTGATCTCCAATCAGATATGGAGACTTCTGGCTCAGAGGCGGGATATGTATTGAACATATGCCTTAGAGTCATATCAAAACTTGGCTAGATCATCACCTGTGAAACATTGGCAAATTACTTGAGTGCCACAAACTTCAACTTTCTTATCTTGTGAGAAGTCAAAAATAGTATCTATCTCACAAGGTCACTGTAGAATTAAAAGAAGTGATAGAGATAATAATCACACAATACATTGTAGTTGATACTATTATCAATTCCATGCTATGTTTACCTGCATAAAAATGCTATTCAAAGTTCTTGCCTCTCTGAAAGATGGTTATTGACAACCTCTACTTAAATCAGTGACATTAGCATGACCAATAACGATAGGTTAATTCACATTAGGTTAAGATGTGTTCATACTATTTTTTTTTTCTAAAGGGCTCTGCCTGCCCAGAGAAGTAGTACCTGATGCTGCTTGAAATTTGGTAATCACATCTGGTTTAGCTTTAGACATTTTCTGGGATTTTGCCAGCAGCTACGACACTTTAATGGCTACAATAAACCTCAAAGCCTCATCAAATCTTTGCTGTATGTGTGAAAATTATGTCCTCTTCAATTAAACATTCAATCTCAACTCGCACCAAGGCCTTATGGAAAAGAAGGTGAAACCTGAATGGAAATGTAAGATGAAATGAACCGCCATGATTCTGGCCATCTTGCCAGATGGTATTTAGAAGAAAAAGAAATTCATTAGAGAACCCACAGTCTGTATTTTCTTTAAATATTTACTGGGTACCTTTCATGTGTTGAAAACACTGGCATCTCTAAAGATTAGCAGGGCATTTTTGTTTAAATATTCTATGTGTCTGAGGTGGGGGAAGTCATTTCCTCATTTGCCTCTGTGGTACTTCATGTGCTTTGGTGAAGCCCGGTACAAAGAAAAGTAACTGAGGCAATGTTCGGTTTTCTCTGCTAGGGCAGCTCTACTAGCTTCGAAAACTTCTATTTTCTTAAAATCAGCCGAGGAAGGATTCAGTTGAGTACTGAGAGATCCAGAATGACAATTCAGAGCCTCCCTAGCCAAAAGTGAGGTGCTGTGGGGGAACCCTTGCCTCTCTACTGTCCTCCCAATTCACTCCTCTTATTCTCTTGATGTTTATCATCAAATATACAGGGACGTCGAAGGGAGGCAGCCCCTGGGAGGAGAAGGGAAAAGACCAAACAGGGATCAGGTTTCGGCTCAAAGGCTATAGGAGAGGTCAGGCCAAGGGTTTCACAAGGGGCCAAGAGACAAGAAGAAATGGGCATTCAGGAACGGCCATGGAGCAAACAAGCTGGAGTCTTCCTCCGCCATTGCTAACTCTTGCTGCCACATTGAGGACTGGCCTGGGCCCTAATTCTACCACTAGAGAGGGACAGACAGAAACGCTACGTGATAGCTTACTATGCTTTATGACAATATTCATCAAGCTTCTCAACTTCAACAAGGATACAACTGCCAATTCTTCAGGAGAGAGAAAATAATGACCACAGGTTCACATACGGCATTTCTCAAGGAAGCATCCATTTGGCTGAATTCATTCAACCACATCAATGGAAGAAAAAAACCCCACAAGTTCCTTTAAAAATAATATACAAGATAAAAATATTCACTTGTAACCATTATCCTTTCCATGTAAGTTTTATGCCCAAAGTAAAAATAAACGGCTCTCTTTGCCACCAGGAGCAGATCTTTCCCACTTTACTTCCATTTCCAAGTTGTTCTCAGTCTCAGACTTAGATTTCTGAGTACTCTTTCACAATAAACATTTTTAAAAGGTTTACTTTATGTCTTAATGTTAAAATATTCCTGGTTGAAGCCCTTCATTTCCTCAAGCTCTGCTTCTGGCACTCCGGGCTCCATTTCCACATTAACACACTCCCTAAATCCTCCGTAGAGCTCTTCAATTGGAGTTATACAAGCTCCAAGGCAAGTATTTATATTCTTGGACAAGGAGATGTCTCCACAGGGAAAATACAAGACTCTAGAAATGCCAAAGGAAAATTCCTGGCCAAGCAAGATACATTTTCACCTTTTAAAAAAGCCAAAAAGGGGCTTTCAGCATTTTCTTTTGAATAATTAAATGTGTAAATTAGACTAAAATGGAATGTTTACTGTGGGCCTTACCATCATCATTAGACTCATATATAAACTAAACATACAGGAACGTACGTGTGTGTGTGTACACATATGTGTGTGATACATTTATTTAAAGCAGCAGAGTAAACTAAGAAAATGTGTGAGTTCTAATTGGATAGACTTGATTAGAGTTCAGTAAATCTGTCTCTTACTGGCTGTATGAACATAACTTCTCTAAGCCTCATTTTTCTCATCTGTAAAATGGGTTTAGTGTAGTTCCAGCTTGTTAGCATTATGAGACAACAGTAAGCATCCAGTAAAGGTTACTACTATTATTAACGTTATAACTACTAAATGTTAGAAAATGAAGATATAACAAGATAGGTATATAAGAAACATATGATCTACACTAATGAAAGAGAAGAATTTGAAAATACAGTGCCTCTATACACTACGTAGAGATGGAAAGTTTCATGAAAGCTGTAGTGTGCCATCACTGAACTCTGCACCAATCCCACTCCATGAGCCAGACCTAAACAATCCTCTTAAAACATTTTTTAAAAGTAATCTTTAGCTATTATCAAAATAACAGAACAGTTCCTATTACCTTCCAGTTGCCTCTTCAGTTTTCTCAAATCTTTTATGAGGTCTTCAAACTTGACTTGGGAGGCCAGAAAGAAATCCTGTGGTTCAGGCAGAGGGAAAACACTCTTTTCTGTTCCAGCTTCCTAAGAGAGAGATGGTGGACAAAAAGTACATTATACTTCCCAATTGTCACTTTCAGTTGAAATTCCAAAACATCAGTGAAAAAAAAAAAAAAAGCTTTTTTATTGGATGTCTGAATAAGAATCACAGTAATGCTCCCCTGCTATTCTTAAATTTGGACTAGTGACTTTGTCTTTCTTGTCTTTCACATCTTTTTGGACTTACTGGCAATGAGGTTGGCTATAGCTTTGGCACAGGCTGGGTTCTATTTTGCCTCATGAATCAAAGAGAAAATTATCAGGTCTGTCCTGATTTTGGACACTCTACTTCCATGAAAAATGGAACAGGGGAACACATCAAAGTACTTAAATTTAAAGTCCCTGCTTGATTTACACATGCTAGCAATTAGACAAGTCCTCTTTGGGGTATGCCAATGGGGGTGAATCAGAAGGTGCTGAATAAGAAGGCACTGAAATGGAAGATACAATCATCCTCCCATCACCCTTCCTCACCTTCTCTATGGCTTAAAGCTCTTCTGTATGCATGCATGTTCAAATTCTTTGTATATGGATGTCTACACACATATACATATGTACACTTTTTGTTTTGATCTAGGGTCTTGCTTTGTCGCCCAGGCTTAAGTGCACTGACACAATCATGGCTTCCTGCAGCCTTGACCTCCCAGGCCCAAGTGATCCTTCCACCTCAGCCTCTCAGCTGGGACCACAGGTGCATGCCACCATACCCAGCTAATCTTTAATTTTTTGTACAGATGGGGTCTTGCCATGTTGCCTAGGCTGGTCTCAAACTCCTGGGCTCAGGTGATCCTCCTCCTGCCTTGGCCTCCCCAAAATTCTTCATATATTTGAAAAACTTTTCCAAATGTTGTTTGGCTTATCTTAGGAGACTGAGTGCAGGGTGGGGTATAGTTTTGACAAGCTCCACTGCTGTACCTAATGGAGGATTGTCAGCTGAGAAACGTCTTGAAGGACAAAATCTTCAGGCACATTGAAACATAAGCTGAGCCTGAAATATCTTTTCCAGCCTAGCTCGCTTTGTCCCTGAGTTGTTTAACGTAAGCTTTGTATCTTGCATGTCTTAGTCTTCAGTTATTCCTCTTTCTGCACAGGCTACTTTGCCAGTTTTCCTTCACATTCCATCTTCCCTACTGCCATTAGGACTAATTCCAAACTCTACAACTGCTTTACAAGGCACTTTATGATCTGGCCTCTGTCTTCATCTCTAGCCTCATTTCTACCTTCCTCCTATCTCCAACTCCCTCTAAACCTTCATGAAATAATAAACCACAATCTCTTGCTTCTAGGCCTTTGTCTATGAAACAGTCCCTTTCCGACCCTTCCCTAGTGCCTCCTTAAACTTCCTTGTTCATACTCATCCTTCAAGTCTTAAACATCCTTTCTTACAGATTTCCCCCTAATTCCCAGCATGTGGATGTTTCTCCCTTGTTCTCCAAGGGCCTGTGACATTTACATTATCATAGTATTTATCACCATTAATTTTTTTTCCATAAGTTATTGAGGTTCAGGTAGTATTTGGTTACATGAGTAAGTTCTTTAGTGGTGATTTGTGAGATTTTGGTGCACCCATCACCTAAGCAGTATACACTACACCCTGTTTGTAGTATTTAATCACTCAACCCCCTCCCACTCTTCCCCCCAAGTCCCCACAGTCCATTGTACCATTCCTGTGCCTTTGCATCCTAATAGCTTAGCTCCCACGTATCAGTAAGAACATATGATGTTTGGTTTTCCTTTACTGAGTTATTTCACTGAGAATAATAGTCTCTGATCTCCTCCAGGTAGCTGCAAATGCGGTTAATTCATTCCTTTTTATGGCTGAGTGGTATTCCATTGTGTGTGTGTATATATTCCATCGTGTGTGTGTATATATATTACTTACACGCGCGCGTGCGTGCGCACACACACGCATCATAGTTTCTTTACCTACTCTGACTGATGGATATTTGGGTTGGTTCCATGATTTTGCAATCATGAATTGTGCTGCTATGCAAGTCTTTTTTTCATATAATGACTGATTTTCTTCTGGGTAAATATCCAGTAGTAGGATTGCTGGATCAAATGGTAATTCTACTTTCAGTTCTTTAAAAAAATCTCTACACCGGTTTCCATAGTGGCTGTACTAGTTCATATTGCCACCAGCAGCGTAGAAGTGTTCCTTGATGACTGCATCCATGCCATCATCTGCTGTTTTTTGATTATGACCATTCTTGCAGGATAAGGTGGTATCGCATTGTGGTTTTGATTTGCATTTACCTGATCATTAGTGATGGTGAACATTTTTTCATATGTTTGTTGGCCATTTGTATATCTTCTTTTGAGAACTGTCTATTTATGTCCTTAGCCAGTTTTAGATGGGACTGTTTTTTTCTTACTGATTTGAGTTCATTGTAGATTCTGGATATTAGTCCTTTGTCAGATGTATTGATCGTACAGATTTTTCTTTCACTCTGTGAATTGTCTGTTTATTCTGCTGACTGTTCCTTTTGTCTTTCAAAAGCTCTTTAGTTTAATTAAGTCCCAACTACTTATCTTTGTTTTTATTGCATTTGCTTTTGAGTTCTTGGTCATGAAATCCTTGCCTAAAACAACATCTAGAAGAGTTTTTCCAATGTTACCTTCTAGAATTTTCAAGTCTTAGATTTAAGTCCTTAATCCATCTTGAGTTGATTTTTGTGTAAGACGAGAGATGAGAATCCAGTTTTTCTCCTATACATGGCTAGCCAATTATTCCAGCATCACTTGTTGAGAAGGGTGTCCTTTTCCCAGTTTACGTTTTTGTTGGCTTTGTTGAAGATCAGTTGGCTAAGTATTTGGGTTTATTTCTGGGTTCTCTATTCTGTTCCATTGGTCTATGTGCCTATTTTTATACTAGTACCACACTGTTTTGGTGACTATGGCCTTAAAGTATGGTTTGAAATCAGGTAGTGTGATGCCTCCAGATTTCTTCTTTTTGCATAGTCTTGTTCTGGCTATGTGGGCTCTTTCTTGGTTCCATATGAATTTTAGAATTATTTTTTCTTTTGATGGGGATTGCATTGAACTTGTAGATTGCTTTTGGCAGTATGGTCATTTTCACAATATTGATTCTACCCATCCTTGAGCATGGGATGTGTTTCCATTTCTTTGTGTTGTCTATGATCTCTTTCAGCAGTGTTTTTTAGTTTTCCCTGTGGAGGTCTTTTGACTCCTTGGTTAGGTATATTCCTAAGAGTTTTATCTTTTGCAGCTATTGTAAAAGGGGTTGGATTCTTGATTTGATTCTTCACTTGGTCGCTGTTGGTGTATAGAAGAGCTACTGATTTGTGTACATAAATCTTGTATCTAGAAACTTTCCTGAATTATTTTTATCAATTCTAGGAGCTTTCAGGAGGAATCTTTAGGGTTTTCAAGGTAGACAATCCTATCATCAGCAAACAGTGACAGTATGACTTCCTCTTTACCAATTTGGATGCCTTTTATTTCTTTATCTTGTCTGACTGCTCTAGTTAGGAATTCCAGTACTATGTTGAAGAGGAGTGGTGAGAGTGGGCATCCTTGTCTTGTTCCAGTTCTCAGACGGACAAAGCTTTAAACTTCTCCCCATTCAGTATTATGTTGGCTGGGGTTTGTCATAGATGGCTTTTATTACATTGAGATATGTCCCTTTTATGTGGATTTTGCTGAGAATTTTAATCATAAAGGGATGCTGGATTTTGTTGTATGCTTTTTCTGCATCTATTGAGATGATCATGTGATTTGTTTTTAATTCTGTTTATGTGGTATATCTCATTTATTGACTTGCATATGTTAAACCATCCCATCCCTGGTATGAAACTCACTTGATCATTGTGGATTATCTTTGTAATATGTTGTTGGATTAAGTTAGCTAGTATTTTGCTAAGGACTTTGGCATCTCATCAAGGATATGGATCTGCAGTTTTCTTTTTTGGTTATGTCCTTTCCTGGTTTTGGTATTAGGGTGATGCTGGTTTCGTGAAATGAATTAGGGAGGGTTCTCTCTTTCTCTATTTTGTGGATAGTATCAAAAGGATTGGTACCAATTCTTCTTTGAATGTCTGGCAGAATTCTGCTGTGAATCCATCCAGTCCTGAAGATTTTTATTGTTGGTAATTTTTTAAATTACCGTTTGATTCTTGCTGCTTGTTATTGGTCCATTCAGCGTATCTAATTCTTCCTGATTTAAGCTAGGAGGGTTGTATTTTCCAGGAATTTATCCATCTCTTCTAGGTTTTCTAGATTATGTATCACGATTAATTTTTAATTGCCATGTTACCTTGTACATCTTCCCTACTAAACTATAAACACCTCACAGGCAGAAACTGTGTTTTGTTCTCGGTAAACAATATCTGGCATATCAATAAGCTTGATTTTTGGTTTGTGGGCACTACTACAGAGGGCCTATAAGACATGGTTCTGAGATGTATGTATCTTCAGCAGGAGACATCTATTTTATCACTATGTTTTCTTGTGGTTTCAGGAATTCTCTTGACCCTTCCTCTTTAAGGCCATTAGCATCATTAGGGATGCTAGGATACAGTAGTTGTCCTCCTTTTATCAGAACACAATGTCCTTTTATTTTTCCCATCTTCATATACTTATTTTACTACTTTAAAAAGGAAGCAGTACCCTCGTCTGAGGGCCAAGATGGAACAAACTCTAAGATCCTCACCACAAAGCTCCATTCTAATCTTTACTGAGAGAACTCAGGCATGGTATCTCTTTCAATTTTCTAAAACTGTATCATTCAGTCCTGGTTTTGATTGTGTGTGTGTGTGTGTGCGTGCACACACACTAGAAAAAGAGGAAACTGCTGCTGAGCATATCAGGCTGGTAGCAGCTCTTGTGAAAGCTGCTCAATTAGAGTTCAAAAAGCATGACTCTAAGTGGGTTTCTTTAAATTTCACAGACCAAGACTTGGACCAAAAACCAGGCAAGAGAAGAAGGAAGCAGGGAGCAGGAGTCACCTTTCTTCAGCTAATTGC